CAGGTAGCCACTCCTAGTCTCCCTCTCCATCCTGAAAATMACTTATCCAAGTCTGTCACATCTATTAGGCAATGCCCTTGGCTTTTCTTCTTTTTTGTTAACTTCTGGTCATTCCTGTCTTTGTGTGTCATCTGTCCCCAATTTACATACTTAGTTAGCCAAATAATTTCYATACATACAGATAAATGTCATATGCCTGAAGTATGCAAAAGACAGTAGATATCAATCTGGATAAAGACATACTTTTAAACTGGTCACGGTGCCATTTTGTGTGCAAAACCTAGACATTTCAAAACACCTTTTTTTAAAAAAAAGTCTGCTTTCTTCTCTATCCAAAGTAGCACAAGACATCATTACCCATTTTTACCTGCACAATAATGTAGGCCAGTTCTCACTACTTCTATTTAAGGACATGTTGCACTTATTTAATCTTTTGAAAGGGGAGGTGGGAATTTCATTTGTCTAAGTCATGCAAAGCAGCACCTTCTGAACACTTCAGGGTCACCAGAATAGCTCTGGGGAGAGCCACAGCCACTGCAGCCTGAGGAACATCAGCAACCTGTTGGAAAGAAGCAGAGCRTGTTCATTAGCCAGACTTCAACAACAGCTGACAGCAAGCAAGGGATGTCTTCATTTGGAGACATGCTCTTCATGTAGGGACATGCTTTTCATGTATTGCTTGTTATTCACTTAAGGGCAGTCACTAGTGGCATGAGCATGTTTTGTGACTTAATTAGAACACAGTATTCTATAACACATATGAGAGTTGGGTATTTATTTCCCCTCTTAGTTTGGAAGAAAGGAAGTAGGGATCTTTTTCCTGGAGGAACCTTTCATTAATGTATTTTTCTATTGTTAATATTAAGTGCTACATCAGGAGTACATACACATTCACAACTTCATATTTCACACAATTTTATTTATAAAATTGTAATTATCTAACAAATTGCATATAAAATGATTTACTTCAAGTAAATACAGAATACTGCACGACTATTAAAACTATTGTATTGTCCATCATAAGTGTATTAAAACATTCCTAAAAAATGCCTCTATTAAAAAACAAAAACCCAAAAACACAAGTAGCATGACCAAGACCATTTTCAATAGCTTAAAATGAATTACCAGGAAGTTGCATTAACTTCCTAAGTAGACTCCAGTTACATCCATTGAGATCAGCATGTGATACAATACCACAGTCTAATGCTAAAGATGACAAGTAATACATTATGCACCTGATCTATGCTTTTCTCCTAGACTGAAGGGAACCAGTCCAAAATCAGAAAACTAAAGCTCAAGTCAAACTCTACTGGGCATGCAGTTCTGTTATAGCAATACTTTCAATCGGTAAGTGTAGTTGGCTTTTACAATCRATTTTACAACTGATAAAAAAGGAACACAAGTGAATACATTCGTATAAAAAGGAATGATACACAAAGGGTAAATATTGACACACCTTGCTGTACACCTTCAGATGAACCAGAGAGAAAGATTCAGCTGGAACTAATCTGGAATATATGTGTCAGAAACGGGTCTGAGTCACAAACCCAAATCCCAATCTCCACAGYGCTCAAGGTAGTATTCAGGTCCATCTCTACTATGTACACAGCRTGAACATGAACACACATACAGATGAAGCTGTTTATTAACACACTTATATTGCCAAAACACAAAAGACAGCTAGCAGTGCTGCCTTGTGCACACTAGTAGTCACAACACTTCTTCTTATACTGCATGTTAAGGGAGACAGATGTTTTATTTCTTTTTTTCAAGTGGCAAAATTTGGTATCTAATGGATCAGGGTAGTATTATCMCATTTGTTTTAGACAGTTTCATTATCTGTTCTAGGTATTTGAAAAAGATTCAGAGAAAAAACAAAAATGGGAGGAACTGAAAYATTCAGCAATGCTTGACAGCTTTTGAGGTCTAATCTCTTTCCTAGGTATTTGCAGAACTGCTACTTCAATGCACTRAAAAGGCATACACAGCAAGAAAGGAAACAATCAAAAACTCAAACAATAGCTTCTCTCATAACCAACCAAATTAATCAAGACCAATTTTACCAAGGGCAACTGTAAAGCAGTAAAAACACAGACTGATGTCCAGGACAGTTCTTATAGCACCATGTTTAGTCCTGCCACAAGTGATGCCAACCTCCCATAACCAGTAGGAGGTGCTGCCACTGAGCCTCCACTTTACAGTCTCACGCTGTCCTAATGCCAAGYAGCAAAGGGAAAAGGCAAGGGAGGCCCTGCCACTAACCAGAGCCCAAAGGGCTTCACCTTCCTCGGGTGCAGCCACCCACCCACAGGGCAGAGCCACAAGCGCAGGCGGCTGAGGCGCTCCTGCTGCTCCACTGGGGCGAGGAACAGCCCAGACAACCACTCAGGACTCACCGGCAAACCCTCCTAGTGGTCACCTTTCCTATCCATAATAAACACTTCCAGGGTGAAAAGCAGTCATGTGCAAGAATCATTAAATCTGCATGCTAATATTTACATTTCAAACACTATTTACACACCAGAACTACAATGAGCATCTCTCTCAAAGGGGAGAGAAGAAGGCTTTCGGGGRAGAGTACACTTGAGCAAGCACCCTCACAGCTTCAAACTCTAAGGGGCACAATCAAAATTATGGATTTTAAGCAAAGAGATCCTACTGCTACCAAAACAGACACAAAGAGATGAATCAAACATTTGTCCATTAGGCTATTAATAAAAAAAACCCCAAACCCCAAACAACAGAAAGGCCTGTGAATACAGAGGGTATTTAGCAAGCAGAAGAGCAAAGACTGTAATGCCCTTTGGCAGGGCTCAATGGGATATATGGAAATAGCTTTAAAGCCAGTGCTGCTGCTGAGCTACCAGACTCCTCATTAGCAATGCCACCACCCTACAGTAACCACCCAGCAAACAGAGGTCTTTCACACTCTGAAAAGGCCCTAAGCCTGACAACAAATTTCTGAACAACTACTGCACATCAAAGATAATTAAACTGATCTCTGAACTCCCATCTACCCCACCATCACACCASGCAAGCTAGAAATTGCCATGGAGTCCTAGCACCTACCATATCTTATTGCTTTAGACACCAAGCCCATGTAGCCAGCAGTTGTGCTTYAGTTGCAGCTCACCTGAACTTTTCAAAATTTTCTGGAAAAAAAGTTTGCTTGTTTTTGGCAGGCTCTGACAGTAATACATTGATTTCCAAGGCCTCCCACAAGCTTTCCAAATTGGACACCTAAATGCTGAAGAGCGGCTGATGGGACCATTTCTAGGACATCTTACCTGATCTGTAGACAAAAAAATGTGGGATATAAATGTGTAACATAGACAGCTAATCCTAAACATTCAGTGCACATCCATCAAACAACTGCAAAAATGAGTAAATAAGTATGTTTTGGGAATGAGAGAGGGAGAAGGATCAACATCCACAGCAATAAAAATGAGCTCTAGAAAAATAAGTTATTTAGTGGTTTTTGTAAGAACAGTCAGTTATTCTGGGAATGAAGTGTTCAGCAGAAGTGTTGCACATTTGTGTGTAGACATGCAAGTCGTGAGAACAAGATTTGCTCAGCTCAGAGCATTTACCCTCCAAACAGTTTGACACTGCCAACAGCACAGCCAGCRGACTGGAACTCAGAGAACAGCATGAGGAGACAGAAGGCCAATACAGTACAACTGCAGAGATTCAAGTAGAAGAATGAAGCTATCTTCAGACGCTCAGAGCAGCAACAGCAATATTCAAGATCAGTGGCAACAAGGAATGTTTCTGTAATTAGGCTTGTTTTCCCTCCAAACCAAAGCCCAGGATCATAATCAAGGCTCTGTGGTGGAGGGGTTATTTCCTCAACCCCACTTCCCTAATTCCTGCCTGCACCATTTTGTCTCAGWGCAGCAACACTGATGCTGATGATTTCTCTGTCCTGCCACTGCTAGGCAAAATGGTATGTCCCTCTGGGGGAAAACAAACACCARTAACTCCTCAAGTTGAGGAATGGCTAAGAAAAACATAACACTGTGCTGAGGTGGAACCAACTTTATTAAGGACAGTGAATTATAATTGCTTTGAAAGGCTTTTAAAAATGCTCTGAGTCATGGCTGGCCTTTAACAGGAGATACCAAGGGATATGGAGGCTGCCTGATTCAGAGCCAGTCAGTGGGAGTTAACCAGAAGAGGATGAGGTAATGCTCAAAACTGGAGGACAACAGGTCTGTCTGAGGCATCTGTGAAGTGCCGGAGTGCCCACTACCAGCCTTCAGAGGGGAGGAAAACTACAAACTAAAGTACAGAAAGGCAAAATGTGCAAGGGTACATATATTCATTTGTGTAAGTCACAGGACCAGAAAGGACTTTAAAAGGTCATCAGACCAGCCTTCTATCTATCCCTCAGAACAGGGAAGCTTTGAACGCAATGTGTTCATCTCTTCTACTCCACATACCTCCTGTTTTAGGAAACTCAACTCAAAAAGATGTCACGTTCTTACAAAGAGGTGCTACATACCCTTTGACACTGTCTGACCGAAACAGGAGCTGAGAACTCACAGCTTTCAGGACTGGTACTGGAGATACTGAGAAGGGTCATAAAATAAGCTAAATTTACACAAAGTGCAATAAACTACCCAAGCCATGGTCAGGTCTGTACGTTCTCTATTATTAGTGAAGAAGAACAAATCAAAAGCACTAAGCTGAATGGAGCCTGATCTAAGTCTTCTTTCACTATTTGTGCTTTTTTCCATATTCTGCTTTCTTGTGTCCAATTCAAAAGGGTCTGTCTTAGCTGATCCTAATAAATGCTTCTATTTTAAGACTTTTATTCTGTTGCTTCAAGAAAGCTCTTTGTTGCCTTTAGAGCAAGAAAGGGAGCCACATCTCTACAGCATGGATTCGTTCACCGGAGGTAAGCATTAACTCTGGCAAAAACTGTTCTCTCCAACTTCTACAAGAATGGGATATGATCTTTCCATAATCACATGCATTTATCAATAAATAAGTTTGGATTAGACTGTATTAAAACATATGCATATATTTAAAGCACTGGAGTGTCACAGATTCTTATTCCACAGCTCATGCAAGTAAAAAGAATTAAAGAAAACAARAAGAAAAACAGAAAGAYCAAAGCCTCAACCAGGAACAGACCGACCAAAGAAACAAGCTTCCCTTGATTATCTCAAAGGATTAATATTAGTGAGATTCCCTAAACACATTAGGTTACACTAAATTTTGGAGAAACAAAAGATTTTACCATATCAAACACATGTTTTGATTTAATATATAATTCATTCTTTGAATATTATTCYTCACTTGGACCCAACATCCACACTGCTTTCATACATTTAACAGTTATATCCCATCCTTGCCTTAAAAGACTCATATCCAAAAGTATGGCAGCAACCCTTGTAAGTCAAATATAAAACTCCTTTCCCTTCATACAAGGGTGGAGAAGGAAGAAAGATCTTGACAAAATTAGGCAATTCTCCCTGTTGCTGATTCCAAGCCCACAGTACTACAGGGAGATGGTTGGAAGCTTGCATAAAAAAAATTTCCCTTGTTTTAAAAACRATTTCTTTGACTGTATAATAGATGCATAGAAAGTTGCTTCCTGCTTCATGGGTCTAGGCCTGTAGCTATGTTTAGCTGTGAAAACAAGAAGATTGTTCCTTTACAGAGTGGTGAGGAGATAGACCATCTCAGGAATATTTGGCAGCCATCAAAGAGCTCATGACATGAAGAATAAACAGCATATCCACAGACTACAACGATGCAACTCTGTCTCACTGAATACACCAATTTTAAAAAGTGTCCACTTATTACTCAAAATCAAGAATACAGTAGAGATTCACGGCTCAATAGCTTTCAAAGTGGTGGTTTAAAAGAAAAAAAAAATGGTCAGTGAGCAGCAGATTTTCAATAGCCCACTCCTCTCTCCCACCCCAGAGAAACACAYGTTCACTGCAATATCAGGAACTTAAGACTTGAGACTACTTGGGAGAGAAGGCTTCCCTGTCACCCATGTCCATACAGCTTGGTGTCGGAGTGACACACTGGAGGTTTCAGAGGGTTTCAGTTGTCCAGTGTCTTCTTGTGGTTTTTCAGCAGTTTTACCAGCTGGCTCTGACAGCCTCAATGTCACTAACCAAATTCTGGGCTAAGCATATCCCAAATATCTGGAAGAGATAACAGTTTATTCATTTGGAGCACTGAACAATTCTTCTCACACAGGCAAACTCCTTAGGTTATACTRAACTTAGATATGAAAGAAACAAGAGTGGCAGAAATTAAATTAACAGTAAGTATTGAAAGAAGTAAGAATATTGCAGAACTACTGTAACCCCAGTATTTTTATAGTGGCACTGGGTTCCAGTTAATGACCAGTTTTAGTCTTGTTTCAAAGCAACCCTAAAAGCTCTCTGCTGCTCATTTAAGCATCATTGGAAATAGTAGGTCTGTACAGGCTTAAAAATCTCAACCTAAGCTTTATATAAAAGAGTGTTAGTTTCAACCTGCTGAGAGTTGAAAAAAAATGCATCCCTGTAGATAAAAATTAAATATTCCTTAACACAAAGAAAGCCTTGTACATTTAGTTCCCCCCTCTAAAACCCACGAACAGGCAACTGACGCATTTCCAATTCTCATACACAGTTTCCCCCCCTCACATATTCCGTTTATCTAGGTTTCCTCTGTGCAGCTCAGTACAGGGAACATGATGGTTACCTGCAGTAATGCTATCCCAATGAATATACCAGCAACTATGGTAAGGTTGTCCTGCAACCATTTCTCAAACTGAGGGACACAGCCTTTAGTGTAGATAACAATCTGCTGATCAACTTCCTGCCAAGGTGAAAAGGAAMAAAAGATTATTACATTCAACTAAACCATCAGTAGAATAATCTCCTCTTGCAACAGGGATTCAGATCCTTAACATACTTCATTAAGAAGAACAAAAAGAAAAAAAAAGGCTTACTGGCTTTTGCCTTGCATCGTAACCACACTGAGTATTAATAACATCTTCCTAGAGGGGAGAGACAGAGAGAGAGAAGCAATCAGTAAAATTACTCCCAAACACCTTCTCCCAGCTCCCTGAAGTTGGTCCTGTAAGTAGGAAGACAATCACCCAAACTTTGGTTACCATATTGCTTTAATTAAAAAAACCTTCCTCTTTCACTCTAATAACCCTGCTATTAATTATTTGCAGCAACAAGAGCATACGGTCAAAAAAAAATTATCTCTCCAGTCAGCAAGCTGGGAAAACCAGCCCTCTACCCGGGTGAACTCCATGTTCCAGATCCAAGCATTTAGTAGTCGAAGTAAAGGGACTAGGGAACATCTAYATTAAGTGAAGGAACCTTCTGCTGAAAAGGTTTTGTCTATACTAAAAAATATGCCAAGAGTACTGTTATCATTTTCAGGGTTCAGTCTGTGCAGAATGAAGAGGTGACAAGGGGCAGTTCTGGTGCAGAAGCTCCAAGTTCTTTCTGAGAATGTCACTAGAAATATGTACACTATCTAGCTCCTTTCCAAAAACCTGAAAGAAAAAAAGAACAGATGGGATAATGTGTTCTTACTGCCTGTTCTTTCTTATAAGAGTTTGATAGCAATGGGACAGGAGGTTTTTTCCCTACTGCCCTTCCTTCAGTACTCCCAAAGCACAGGTAATAAAATAGGCACTGGCAAACTTTCCCTAGTGAACAAGTGCTACCCCTTTGCAGCTAAAGCGATATTTTTACTTTGTATACAKCATAGTACATCATAGTAATAAAATGAAGCAAGAACTTTTGGCATCAGCCACAATGGCAGCAAAATAGYAAGTTACTGGCTTATCATATAAGGACAGTGAACAGAAGAAGGACTACTCAAGAAACTGAGAAAATCAGCCAATCTTAGCTAGGTGTACCCAACACCACAATTTAATCAAATTGTGGGAAGTGAGAAAGGCAGGCAGTGAAGAAATGGATTTTAAAAAGCAGCCATATGGAAAAAWGTATTTCCTAGCATCACAAAAAGTTCCTCTGTTTCCTCACTTTGCAGGAAGTACAACAGGTCACATTCTGTCAGCTGCCCAAACTGAATTCCCTTAACGAACCTTCAGAATTTGAGCAACTTGTATCTCTTAATGTGATGAACGATTCTATTCCAGGATCTAAGTGCCACAGACTTCAAGGATGTAAAAGCACCTAAGATTCTGGGAGAGGGATTTTMAGTTTTCTTTCTCATACTGAATGCCTATTCACCTCATCATTAATGTCTTCTGCCTTTAGCCTTGAATTTGTTAAGCAAAAGAAGGTATGAAAAATATAATGGAAATAAGAAAGTTTTCTAGTCTTGCCTGTACAGGAATTTGGAACACTACAGCCTCCCTAACTACATCAAAGTGAACTATAGTAGTCAAAATTTGTTTTAAGAGACTTATTTTAGCCTACCTTAAACTTACCACTTCCTGATTCAAGATAAACTAAAAACAGTATGGCATCGACATAACTGTTGGTATCAGTCCAACACTGAAACCTAATTGTAAAAGGGACAAATTTGCWTTCCTACAGAATAAACCTGTGTTTCTCTCTGCAACTGAACCAATCACAAGGCTTGGTTACAATTATTTTAATTGYACGCATGACTTTTCACATTTTCAGTCTTTAAAGGCTATTTAGGTTGTCATTTCCTTCCAATGAACAAGAATGAGGTTTAACTTTGAATTTCTGGTTGCTGCATCACACCTTAACAAACTGCACAGCTGTTTACACAACAGAGAGGGAGAAAGAGAGAACTTTAGGATGGATTATGTATTTATAGGATTACCTTGTACTGCTGTCACTGGTTTGGTTTTATAACAACTAYATTTTTAAAACTGACCTCTCTGTGGGTGGGTGGGCAGACAGGCAAACAATAGAGGGAATCTTAAGTGTAATAAATGCTTGAGCCTAACTCCCATTTCGTTTTAGTACCACATTAAAACATTTTCAGCTATGTTTGTGAGAAAGATTCAAACTACTGTGAAGACACGTTCACTGCAGAGGAACCAGAACCAGCTCGTTCAAGTGGCACTGCCTTATCAGGAGAGGGGGAGAGAACAGCAACTGGATGCCAGGAGCAGCGACTGCATTGCATTATTTATTAGCAAGGCAGGAAGCACCTGAGATGCCTTTTGGCAACTTGCCTAACTTCAGTCTGCACTAGACTAAGTCATTCCAGGTGGAGAAAAAGCCACAGCTGAATTGCTAGATACAAGCACTCAAAGCCAGCTTCTTTCAAGCTATATGAAAGTCAAATGTATACAGTTCTAGGCACGTAACGGTTTCCATGCACGCACCCATCCCTGTTAGCTTTTTACTATCAGTGAACTGATTCCCTACACTTTACTCTTTTTGGTCATGTCCACACTAGCAATGCATGGCTCCAACATTTTCCACTTCATGACCCAGAACTATAAATATATTAAAAGACATGAAAATTCACCAAAAAGCTGCTCCCACAAACAACTGCTGACCTTTCAAGTCTAATTTCAGGTGACTGTAGGACAGGCAGGTAAAAAAAGACTATGTAAAGATATCCATACCCAACTAATGCAAACACGTCAGTTCCTCAGGGCACAGACTGTCATTCATTATCATACCAGGCACAAACTGGGTCAAATTGGCTGCAGCCTCAGGACACTGCATTAAATAATGAATAATACCTCCTTTAAAGTCTGATCTTAAGGGTTCCTGTTCTGATGAATTTCAATTGAAAGCTCACATCCTTCAACTCATTAAGAACTTCTCCTTTTTATACTTGCTAAAATTAATATGTATGTTCACTCAAGCCCATGTTTCTCTCTTTAATAAAAGCTACAAACAATGAAGATTCAAGTTAGCTTATGATTTTTGYTGACTGCAGAAAAGTTAGTGGTTAAGCTGAGCTATAAGAACAAAAAATACAGGTTGGTGAGAAGTTAACAATTATGCATGATTTCCAGACCAAAAAAAAAGTAAAATCTTGAAGAGTTATTTACGATTGGAACAGCAGAGCCATTCTACCCTCTTGACTGTCACTTACAGCAGGATCTTTAGTACAGCAAGAGAATGGCACACCGCAGCGCTCCCGACTTGCGTTGGAATCTGTGCAATTGAAGTAGATATTAAGGTTCCAGTCATCGGCTCCAAAAGCCCCACAGCACTGCCACTAGAACAAAAAAAGGAGAGCTTCTTAAATTTCAGAAGAAAGATCTCAGCATCAGTAACATGCACCATTGCTGCCAGTTTCCCTCTAGCTTCAAAACAAAATCGGAGACTCCCATTGCTACCATTGAAACTGGCTTTTTTTGTTTGGTTGGGGGTTTTGCCATTTTTAAAAAATACCATTCCAGACCTGTAAGTTGTTCCACAGTTATCATGTGATTAAAGTTACGTTCACACCCTGCTATGCTGCTCTCTGGAGAGAAACCCGTGGGTGAGCTGGTAAGCACACACAACACCACAGAGTTGCACAGGCCTACAAGCTCAGGCCCAAGGGACAGCAGAGACAAGAATACAATATTCTGTCCAGTCTAATGGGCCCTGGATATWAAAAAAAAACAAGCTCCAAGGGCTACACTACTCCTTTTGCCAGTTTGGGGGAACTTTGGCTGGCTGTACATCAGACACTAGGAACACACTATTCTCTGAGCATCACACATTGCACAATTAACACCTTTACTGAATCCTTCAGAGTAAATCTGTTGAAAGGCAGGCTTAGTCTCTGGCAAAACATGTTGRACACACAAGGAATCGGTGTGTTTTGCTGGACACACAAAGAATGGACTGGAAATCAGTGAAGCACTGATGGTTTACAGCATTTAAGTGGCTAGACCAATGAACACATCTACGTCAACTTAAAAAAAAAGTAAAACTTAAAGCCCCACCAAAAAAATCACATTTTTAGAAGCATTGGAATAGCAATTCTTTCTTTCTAGATGTAGCACAGTTCTCTTTGTAATACCTGAACATGTTGTCTTCATGCACTATCTCTACTGGTTGAAGAAGTAGCTTGCTCTCACAACTTGAGCTGCCCCTGGCTTATCTGCTGAGTGCTAATCCAGTTAGGAGAGAAAGCTTTATGTAGTGACTGAAAAATTGGACTGTAGCCTTTGGCTGCATATGAGTGAACCACTGCTTTCAGACTGTAGTGACCTCTGACCCGCTCTCAAAAGAATCAAAACAGTGCAAGAATCCATATCCTGTTACTTACCAATTTTTCCCCCAGGCACAGAGAAGCAAATCACGTATTAAAACTATTTTAATTGTAGAATGTACAAAAATTAATAAACATTAATTCAACCAACACTTAGCCATGTTAGTCACACAGTGCCAAATTCAAAGAGGACTTCATCAACATAGGCCAGAACTGAGTACTRGAGATGGAAGGTACTGGCAGACCTTGTGTGCAAGTCAGTGCAAGACTTCCTYACAGACAGTGATAAATGATGAAGTTTAAATGGCACAGGTGGGTCCACCCTTCCCTCTCAAGCGCAGATGTGGCATCACTTAGAGACCTCCTGCAAGAACTCTACAACTCAAGGACTTCATTAGGCTCATGCAACATCTAATTCAGAATAATTAACATTGTAGCTTGATCTGGACCAACAAAACATCTCTTCAACTCTGCAGTGTGGTGTAGCGCCTCCAATGTCACTAAAACCACACCAGGTTTCATCTTAGGACCAAATTAAACTTGGATTAGCAATAATTTCTTAAACAGATGTGACCRCTTCTACAACGAACTATTTTAACAAGGTGCATTTGTACACAAGCTCTAAGTCTTCAAGAAAAGTCACCCCAACTCTTCATCTTGTTTTGTTCAGTTATACATCAACAAAGCCACTTTTCACAGGTGCCATATGTTTGCAGAAATTCAGTAAAGACAAATATACATACATTCAAAAGTATTATAGGCTAGAATATTTCTGCTGCTCCTTGAAGAAACAAAGCAGATGGAAAATAAAAAATAGGAATAGGTATTTCACAAAAGTAAGCTTTACAAAAATAGAAACATAGTCCAACTTACATATTCCTGTGTGAAGTCTATGAGGTTTTGTAAGTCAATGTCATCTCGGTATGCTCTGATGTTGTTGTTTATAAAGAAATACAGCTGGTCCTTTATCCAGTCTTTGAAAACAAATGCTAGAACACCAGCAGTGAGCTCCAAGAAGAAAATAATTCCAAGAAATACAGAAAACTACGAAGAAAATAAAAATAGCTAAAATTATTTTCCAAAAACTTTTTCAAAGCTCATCATTACATCCAGTGATAAGGCTTTATCTKTTTCAGTGCAAGTTCAAACCATTTTGGCACATAGGAAATTTTAAATGAAAAACACATTATTTTTCCTAGAGCTGGAGTATAAAAATCTTAATTCTATTCTAACAAATAATAAAAATGCTAAGAAATGTCCAAACCTTGGACATTTCACTGGGATTTTTAAAGAGATCCAAGAGAATTCACTGTAAATTTCAAGASATAGTTAGTCAAGGCAACATGTAGGGCCCTTGAAAACCCGTCTTAAATTTCTACATCAGCACTTATGTTTTAGAAGGCACAACCAACCAACAGCTTTCTACATGACTTTTGCTTTAGATCCTCTTACTGGCAAAGCTTTGCCTAAGAAGACAAAGCAGAAATTGGTAACAGCAGAAATTAATTAATGACTAAGTGGGAGCRGAATGTCTATGAAATGACTCACATCCACATTAAAACTAAATGAGGCTGCTATGATTAATGCAAATGCAATGGATGCCAAAGGCATTACTAATGATCTGCCACTTTCTCCAAGCAATTCCATTGAGTCTACATTGTTTTAAACCACACAGGGGTCCTGGCATACTGGAAGTCCATCCCCTTTGCAACTGTGCCTTTGAGTTTCATTTTAATATGCTCTCTGTGTGTTCAGATGCATTTTTAATTTCTCCTGCAGCTGCTGTATGGGAAGCTATTTCTGATACAGCAGATGGGTTCATTTTAGGCAAGCTAAAAGCAAGGGGGAAAAAAAAAAGTGTTACAAGCTGCTTTATAAATGCCTCAAGAACTGTGACTCTCAATTGCCTCCTCCCATTATACACGTCTGTGGAAGCCAAATGTGTCATTTGGAGGCAGTTATTTCACTGGAAGCTTTTTCATGTATCTGTTAACATAGTTAATGGTTATAAAGACACAACTATCACCCAGTCACCTCTGGGAGTGGTGAAGGAAAGAATCTTTCTTACTATAAATCTTCAATTTATCTAAAAGAAGATGATACTGTTATCCTGATCTTCAAGAGGCACAGGAGGAAGGCTTTCACAATACAGGACCCCCCTCATAAGAGTCCTATCTCCTCTGTACCATGARGGGCCCTCGCACAGCAGAAGCCATGTGGGTCACAATCACTGGTGCATCTACATCCCTAACATTTCATAGGCAGTTGTTATGGACTCCAAGTTCAATCCACAGATTCTCACAAGAAATTTCTCTTTCTGTGACCAGGATGCAAAATGTTAGGCTATATTCATAAGAAAAGCAGTAGCTCCATGATTTTTAGCACCAATAGTTTCGAACCTTAGAAAAACACAGCCAGTAAGCACCAGAGACTGAAAAGCTGTAAAGTATTAAAAGCTAAATGCTTTCATGGTACTCTGACACTGGATAACATTTTCCTCTCCAAAACACATTTTAAAAGCTTCACATAGTTAAACAGAACAGAGAGCATGGCATGCTATGTAAATAATGAATGTCATAGTTGCAAAGGCTACTTACAAATTTGAGAAGAAAAGTGTTCTCTCGTAAAGCTCCAATGCATCCTGCAAATCCCAAAATGAACATAACTCCTCCTACCACTAGGAAGAGCCAAACAGGATCAAAGCCTCCCAGGTCAGTGATGGAGGAGATATTGGACAGCACTCCCTGAGAAAGAGACAATGCCAAGGGATAAAAAAGTATGTTCAGCTTTTCATTGTACAAATTCTGCCTGCATTCTTCTTCTTAAAGAGGAAGAAGACTATAGCAAAATAAATGTTCTGCAGTACAGCAAGAAAACACAATTAAGAAAATCTTTGTATCCCAAAAGAGATAAAAAATGCAGTTATGTGCAATACTTCTTAATCAACATGTGAATGACTAACAAAATGTTCTTGAAGAATCCTCTGTGAGAAATCCACAGGGTATTTTCTGCTTGTGTAGCTATAAGTAGTTTAAAAGAAACTCAAAAACTACTTAATCTTACTACACATGCTGAGATGCATTTCACATATTATATATATCATTTATGTAAACACACAATTACACTATGATAGAAAAAACATAGTTAAAAGCAATAAAACCACCTTGAATTTAGTGTTTATGGTCAGTATTTACAGCAATTGTCAGAAATTAGAAAGTGAGGTCCTAGGTTGCAGCATCTTGCGACAAATAATTTTTCAACACATTTTGACAAACTACACATCCAGCAACTTCAACTTCAGGCATCTACAGTGCCAAAACCTCATTCTAGAAATAAAGTATGACTACTGACTAATTAGTTAGCAGGAAAAAATTGAAAATAACGAAGTCTCTTAGTGGGACAAAAGACATTTTAAGAAACTATCTTGGGATGTGGTTTACCCTAACTTAATGCAGACCTATCATATGTTAAACTACATATGCTGTGTTTTAGATATAACTGTCAGCRCAATCTGCTTGTAATGCCATTTTTGCCTCAGAAGCAGAGCTTGGATTGCCACACCAGTAATCCTGAGGAGCTATTTTAATTTTTTGAACATACTTGAGCCAGAGTTCGGCTGATGTTGAACAGATGGGTCATATCACAAAGCAAGTACAAAGTTTATCCTATTCCAGTAAGTTTGCACAGGAACAATTACAGTTTCCTAAGGCTTTTTGGCAGAAAAAAAATGCTGAAGTGCCACTATTCCTTCATTCACCTCCCCTGTAGAGTGCTGTAGGTCAATGCAAAGCACACTGCTGTCTTTCCTCAAAGAAGCCTGAACCTAGGTTGAGTGTTTTGGACTACAGCTTCCTGTAACTTATGAATGAAGCTGTGGCCTGAGAAGCATCAATAGAGATCTCTACAACTACAGCACTTAATYTGCACAACTCCAAGGTTCATCCTTTTCCTTCTTCCTGTTCATATCCCACTTTGTTTCTTTGAAARAGTCCCAAAACAGCAACAATTTAGATGGAAGTTATCATAACCCCATTTCCAGAGGCTGACAGGAACATTGTTAATGATGACTGTTCACAACTGCAGCTTTAGACCTGTGATTATAAAATATATATTTTAAATATATATATGTATACACATACTCATTTTGGACCACTCAAAACAGATCAATGGTCATGTAACCAATGTCTCTAACACTTCATGTAGTCTACAACCACTTTCCTAGAGTTTTCCAAGCAAAACTTGAGCAAGTAGCAAATGAAGACAGTACTAAAARCAGACAGAGTAGATAAAATATACATGTGAATTTCACCAATGCACTCATCAAGGAGCCTTAGAAAAGGCCGAAACATGAAGAAAAATCTGACTACAACCCAATCCTAAAGTACGCACAATAATCCAACAGCATGAATGACATTCTCAAAGCATATTCTTCTCCCTCCRAATACAGGAGGCTGTTGCCTGAGAAGGATGGGATGAAAAAAAAATTTAAAAAAAAAATCACATTCATCACTTACCTCCTACATTACATATAGTACTAGCCTTGCTGTCATTCATTAAAAAAGCAAAATTAGATGCAAGGAACAATATAACACAAYTCAAAACCAGCACTGCTATCAAAGCAGAGCAGTTGATTCATCCCTTTTTCTGGTATCCCTCAGTGAAGAGATGATACACACCAAGATGAAATGAACACTTACCTGTCATTAACACATCAACTTGTGCAAAAGTTTTGTGCACTTTTGTTTCATCACATTTCTCCAAAGAAAAGAAACCCAAGCCAACTTGCTGGCTAAGAAGAACAAGCAATATAAACAGGATAACCCAACAACACACAAACCTTTGAAAAAATCAAGGCCTTGGCCCTACACRAGTAAAGAAGAACCAGTTCTCCCTCAAGGGGGAAAAACAACTACTAAAATGATTTCTTCACAAGTTTTAAAGTCCTTTCCTCTGCGTTTATATAGTTACCATAAGAGGGRAATAAATTCTGCCCTAAAGCAAGCACTACTACTCTTTTAACACTAGCTTATTTTGGAATTAATGGACTGCAGTGTAATAGAGTGAAAAAAGCCTCAGTCACTGGAGAAAAGGCCTTTGTATTACTTGTATTTACTTTGTTAAAAAATAAAAAAAAGATTAAGAGTTCTTTAAGTCTCTCTTCATAAGATACTTTGTCTTTCTTTAAAAACAAAACCAAATAAATCAACAAAAACTCAAAGCAAATTACTATGCTAAATCAGCTTCTTTACATATGAAAGTAGTGAAATTCTAATTAAACAAAATCTTAGTAAAATTCAGCTCACATTTGTCGAAAATACTATTAGATAAGATAGCCATGATACAACAATGGCCGTAAGAAACACACCACTTTGCATTTTGTCATACACTCACTAAATTTGATGGCTATAAAATTTATTGAGCCAGTTTTATACCATTTTTCCAACCCTGCCCTTCCACCCTTTACTTGATTTTCTAGAACTGCCAGGCTCTCAGCACCCTGTAATGCCACATGTTGGCCAGTCACTCCTCAGGCTAGCTATGATCCAACACATACTCAATAGCACAACACAGACTTTATCTGCCATTGTTTGCTGTCCTTCGAAAGCACTTTTATGTTGCTAGTCTACATATGGCAATTGTAAGCCTAGCTTGGATAAATCCCAAACACATCCTGACAAAGCAAAGCACATACTGCTTAATTCTCGTTTGTACTCTGCATGCTCTCTGCATATCAACCCTCAASTTATCAGTATTCTGGAGAGACATCTCAGGATACACAATCTTCAGAGAGGCTTTGTCAATAAAACAATAGCTAGCAGAGGGAATGAGAAACACAGACAATGCTCTGTGATTACAGCTCAAGATACACAGAGGTAATGTGATAGAAGRTAACTGCCTACTGCTTGGAATATAATTTGCCAGTCTTGTACTGTGGACACTTACAAGTAAACTCTCTGAAAATGCAGCAGTGCAATAACCTGAAGAAAAGCATATTTTGCTTCAAGCAACAAGGCAATGACTGGGGAATAATAYCTCACTTTCTATTGTTAAGAAGATCTGAATGTACAGCCCTCTAGGCACATACTCTCCCTATCCACGACAAGTTTCCATAATACCTACTACACCACAGTATCAAGTATTTTTTGGCTGCAATGCCTGCTCCAGGGAAAAGTTTGACAGAGATGTACAAACACCTGGTAGTGACCAATTCTGTCTTCATCCCCTCTTTAGCCAAAGCAGAAGAGAATATTTCCAGGGGTGCTTGAGCAGASGAGCAGCAATCTCATATTCTAACACTGCATCCTCCATGACACGCTCTGAATCCTCAGGCTGTGCAACCATGGAATATATGGCGACTGTCAACTTCCCTCTTGCATCAATGCAAGATCTAAACAAACCACCTGTAAATACTTTAAAGTCAGGCTTTCAACAAATGCAAGATATTTTCTGTCAGCAACACTACTGCAGTTGCCCACTACAACCATGTCGCAATGTGYTCTGATACTTTAACATTCAAAAGGAGGAACAATGTTTTCCTCTAGAGGCATTCTCATTTTGAGGTACCGTTATTTTTGAGGTACACGCACATCACTTTCTTGGTAGTTTAGGCATGTGCATAACCCGTATTTGGCAGGAAATGCTTTGTACGAAGMTACACACTTGAGTGATTTACTTCTCACTATGGTGTCGACCCAGRGCTCTGCTGTAGTCCCACAAGAGGAGCCAGCAGGAAACGTTCCCTGGCTGATGTCCAGCTCATCTGTTTGTTCTGTTCCTCCACCCTCCATCTCCTGTTGTACATTACAGTCCATGAGTTGCTATTTAATATTTTAATCCAACAAAAATCAAAATTTAGTTCGTGCAGTGAAACAACAAAAGCATCATGCATAAGTGAACTAAAATAAGTAACAGTGAAGTTTTGAAAAAAGTTCCTTTATTTGTGAAATRTACTTCAATCACTAGGATACAATGACGCATGGATGGAACAAGAAAGACTGACCCTATATCTCTCTACCCCACCGCAAATTCAGGAGAAGTCAAATGAAATAAGAGGACCTACTCTTTTCTTGAACACAAAGGATGCYTTCCACCCCACCAAGAAATGCGAGAAAACCAAGCCAGGCCCAACAAAAACTGCAGAACTGGAGTCTTCCCCTCATGATATGTGAGCACAGGTAGAAAAACAGCCTGAGAATTGCCTGACAGGTCCTCTGTTGTCCTAGCATGTTTTTCCCATGGCCAGAGTCCTCCATACTACAAGTAGGACCCCATGGATAATTCAAAGGAGAACAAGACAAAGGATGAATGCTAGTCTTGAACACAGGAGCTCATGAATGCCTCTCCTGATATTATAGCTGCACAATAGTTTGCCCATGAGCAAAGAATAAGGAAGCATCGGTCACATARAAAGCAATAAGGGTGCACACCTCATCCTTCTTCCATCTTGTACTCTTTAGGATCAGAACAGCTTCTGCTACTTTCCAGACAGACCCCTGACTCCAGCTCCTGCCTTTGGTGCACATCTACATTAATATTTCAGGTCAGATCCAGCAGTCCTTTTGAAGTGATCACACTCAAGCTGTGCTTCAGTKCACACCAGGGAACAGTCTCAGAGCACATGGACTGGATTACTTACAAATGAGGATGTGCCCCTGGAACAGAACTCATGCTCCAACCACTAGCAGGCATTCAGTCCATGAGATGACACTTGAACACAGCTGAAAAGAATTCAAACCTTCCATAA